CACACATTGTCATTAGCTGTATGACTCATTTTGTTAGTTTATTTAGTTTATATTTGTTTTGGGGTACATGTAGCTTTTGTCAGAAAAGTTTATTATGGTCTCACTGCATATTTGATATCCATAGTATACTTGGGAACTTTTGTTCTCAAGTATACGAAATATTGATTTGCCAGCATTCTATTTTGAATGGTTTGAGTTTTTGCGAGACTGGTGTACCGTGTTTGAAATTATATATACTGGTTTGAGGAAATTAATTATTGTTTAGGTGGTTTTAGTCCATTTTGCAAAAGAAACTCTGTAAAAAAAATTTAAGAATATGTCACCGTTAAACAGGTCATGGTCGCCTTGATCGTGGGACCAGCACTTAACCGGTATCTACCATTGGTGCACGGCACGTGTCAGGTCTATTAGAGTGATTCAGGGTGGGTCGTGTCATTAAGAGCACTGTCGAACCTCAGTGATGTAGTTAAGGAAGAGATAACCTAAGAGACAAGGCGGTTAAGATTAGAATGTTCAAGCAGGAAGTGGTAGAGAGGACACTGTTGTAGGGCTCAACAACAGATGTAGAGACTTGAGGGAAAGGGTAGACAGTGAAGCCAAGCTTTGACTTCTTACCATAGTCAACAGACAGTCGCTCCAGGAGTTGGGAACCCAAATCGAAACCAGTGCTTCCACCCATGGCATTGAACACAACAAACCCTTGTAGACCGGTGCAGTTGTCAGTGAGCTTTTTGATACGGTCCAAACAGAGGTCAACAATCTCTTTATCGATTGTGTAGTGGCCACGAGCAAAGTTGTTAGCAGTATCTTCCTTGCCATTGATGAGCTGTTCAGGATGGAAGAGATGACGGTATGTTCCAGTCCTCACTTCATCAATGATGGTAGGTTCAAGATCCACAAAGACAAGTCATGGGACGTGCTTTCCAGCACCAGTTTCACTAAAGAAAGTGTTGAAGGCATCATCACCTCCTCCGATGGTCTTATCACTTGGCATTTAGCCATCAGGCTGAATGCCATGCTCGAGGCAATAAAGTTCCCAGCAAGCATTTCCAACCTGAATACCATCCTGGCCAATGTGAACGGATATGCACTCTTTCATTTTCAATGGAAATGGTGACGAAAAATGCTAAAGAAAAGGAAAATTTGAAGAGAAAATAAAGGAAAATTACAGTAGCGTTTATCAAGACGCCCTTCCACTCTCAGAGTCATCTTAACACTTGCAGTGTCTAAAGATTGGGAGATTAGGCAAGTAGACGTAAACAATGCTTTCCTGAATGGTCAGTTAAATGAAACAGTCTTTATCAGCCAACTATAGGGCTTTATAGATAAAAGTAATCATAACTTTGTATGCAAGTTGGAATGGAAGTTTAAGCAGTCCAAGGCTGATAACTCATTATTCTTCTTAGCAAACAAAAATGATATACTGTTTACCTTAATCTATGTAGATGACATAGTGATTACAGGAAACAACTCTCATCAGGTGCAAGAATTCATTGATAAACTGAACAAAAGCTTTGCTCTCAAGGATATGGGAAGTCTTAGTCACTTCATTGGAATTGAAGTGCACAGAAATGCAACTGGTTTGTATCTAACATAGACAAAGTATGCCACAGACTTGCTAAAAAGACTTGGATATGAAAACTTAAAATCGAGCCTAACACCTATGGCTGTTGGGAAACTGATTTCAAATACTCAAGTTCAACCTATGAGTGATCCAACTTTGTATAGAAGTACAATAGGTGGACTTCAATATATATACCACACAAGACTAGACATCATTGACACAGTTAATAGATTGAGTCAGTTTTTCCAAACTCCTACTGATACTCACTGGAAGGTACAAAAGAGGGTGTTCAGATACTTAAAAGTTACACTAAATCATGGACTTCTATTCGAAGGAGTAATAATCCTAACATAACTGGCTTTTCTAATTCAGATGGGGCATCATGTCTAGATGATAGGCACTCTACTATAGGCTACTGTGTGTATCTTGGAGACAACCTGGTGTCTTGGTGTTCCAAAAAATAGCACGTTGTGCAAGGTCGAGCATAGAGGCTAAGTATAGGGTACTAGCTCATAGTGTTTCAGAAATCTCATGGATCTAATCTTTGATGAATGAAATGGGACTATCTCAGGAATCAGTTCTAGTTATCTGGCACAATAACCTAAGTGCAAGTGCGTTGGCTTCAAATCCCATCTATCATGCATGCACTAAACATATTGAACTAGAAATTCATTTTGTAAGAGACAAAGTTCTAAAGGGAGAATTAATAATTCACTATGTGCCGTTATCTGAACAACCAGCATACTTACTGACCAAACCTCTCACTCATTCAAGATTTCTACTTCTTAGAGACTAGCTTGGAGTTATTGCACACACTCCACCTTGAAGGGAGTGTTAGAATATGTGACTCATCCAACAATCAATAACAGAATTGAGCTGACTTTGTTCAGAAAATTAGGAATGCTTCATCAGTTTTCTGTTGGCCATGTGGCAATTCATTCTAGAATTTTCTTGTGTGTATTGTATGTAAAGATCATGCTGTATATATGCTAAAGTAATGAAATGATCAATATATCAAAAAATTCAACTCAAAATTATCTTAAAATCTAACTTCCCCTAATCTGTTTTCAATACATCAAGACACCAATGTCCTACAAAGCTAACATTCAAGTATAGAATTTTAGTTTACTCATACAATTTTTTATGTTTTTATAAGTAGATGCCAAATGAATTGCAGTATACACACAAGAGTTGATATATCATTTGGTTTGATCCCCTTTTTTAAACATTCTATAGTAAAAAAAAAAATGCAGCGCCACCCAATATTACGTTATACGTGTTATATGCATCTCTTGCAATGTTAATATCTCGTTCTGTAATCTAATATATGCACTACCATAGTTTTAAATGTCTCGATGTTCTTTGAGCATCCTACATCATGTTATTTTCATTTTTTACTTTTTTTCATCCATGTTAAGAAGAGTCGCTCATACTGGGGTAGCTAAAAAGATGCTGCAACTTAGGAAACAAGTCTCTACTACCCATATTACTCTTTTCTAATGTTTATGCATCGGTAGGAGTTAGGATGAACTCGAAAAAAGATGGTGATGAAAATGTAGAGCAAGACCTTAGCCAAATCTACACTCTTTCACAGGTTATTGATATGGAGTTCTAGAGGTTTTAGAAAAGTGCATAACCGAGCCTCAGCCAAATCTACACTTGTTCACAAGTTATTGATCTAGAGTTGTAGAGGTTTTAGAAAAGTGCATATTTATTTCCTCAATTGATTCACCTTGAAAGAAATTGCTCAGTAGAGGACCATTTGTCTCAGTGACCCTAATGAGCAATGAATTAAGAGAACCTATAGTTTGTAATATTTAACTGAAATAACTTTGGTATATGATGACTTTGAGTCAGCCACGCAAAATTACTATTACGAAGAAATACATTTGGTTTATAAGTATATTTTGCCCTTTTCTCCTCAAGGACGACTCATGTGGTCGAGACAAAAGTCTTACAAAGACCTAAAGAAGTTTCAGATGCAATATCAACATAACATGTTAGAAGATGGAGAGTAAGACCAAAATTAATATGATGAATATAGTTGTATTGGATCTTTCGGTTGATATTGTAATGTAGCAACGAACTTAATAAGATGACGAAAAAGGATTTATATAATCTACCTTATGGATAAAATAGTTTATGGTATGCAAATTAATTGGAAAATGTGCTAGTTCCAGGATATTGTCCATGTCTAACATTAGACGACATAGTCAACAAATTAAATGAAAACTTTGAATTTCCCCGTGGTTCGTTTGATAAAGTTAAAAATGTAACAATGTCGTGCTAGAAAGAAAAAGTGTATTCGTTGAAGTTGTGTCTAATATTGCATAACAAATATGTGATCATTGACCATTGTTCATGGTAAGCCACCATACCAACCTCATGCTTGCTTTAAGGATAGTCAAAATAGTGTTTTCCAAGGCTCGATTTCATGTTACCTTTCTCTACCAAACAACCAATCAAAACAACTCCAACCCACAACCAATATATTTATCTCGGTTTCTCCTCAATTTTACCCACAAAGGACAAGATAATGGTGACGTTTTGTAGCCATAAAGGCACGAGAAAAAAAAAAACAACGGAAGAAGGCAAGAAAAGAGACCAAAATACACAAAGGAAAGGCGCCAATTTTTCTCCTCCAACAGGCAGCCGATTTTTAGCAATAGGAGCAGCCACGTTTTTCCCTAATGTTTCTTACAAATCACACACTTTATGGCTAGGGTAAAGACATCATATATATAGGTTATGTTAGTCCTTAGTTGGACCAATAAAAGGTTTAAATGGGCCAAGATTCAAAGTTATCCAAGAGCAAATATATAGGTTATGTTAGTCCTTAGTCGTGAGCAATATTAATTATTTAAGTTACTTCCAATGGCCCACGTTGTTTTTGGGTCAAGCCTTTGGACTTGGTTATTGGTGACAATTTAATCCAACGTTTACATTATAACCTGGGATTTATTGGGTATCAAAACTAACAAATCTCTACCTTGATACTCAATAAACCTGCAAGTAATCAAAACACAAAATTAATACTTGTATAATCAAGGTAACCAATAAAATTGGAATCAAAGACCTTAATTCATGTTTCGGACCATAACGCATACCATACCTGCTTCACATACTCGCCAGGGCTAAGGTAACAAACAAATACCCAAGTAAAAGTTGATAATCAGATTGAACAATCAAGAGCAAATAATCATTCAGTGAAGATATAACATAATATTTTCAAAAAATATGCTCACAGAACAGTAGATGAATACTAAGTTAATCAATCAAATAGTCAAAACACATGTAACAAATGCATAAATGACCCCACGAAAAGATCTCACCATACTTAACTTATACCATTTCGTGTTGTTCACACCTCGAAAACACATATCTCCTCTCATCGCCCATCATGCTAACTAAACTAATCACTCAACCTAAATCTATATAGATCCTTAGTCTACAAGATAATCATCTATCACCACATCACTTCTCTCAACTTAAGTGGAAAATTGGCCTCCACCCAACAAAAAAAATAGATGGGTCTCTCTCACACTCCACCTGATCAGGGTCTTCACATATACAGAATTCCAACATTTAATCACATTTCCACTCGTGATCCAGATGTCACACTCCACATTCTCAGTACATACTACCAATGTATCCCTAGGAATCTATACTCACATCACCAATAGACACACATCGGACTTACTGTTAATGCATCATAACCAATTATGCGTGCAAACAATAATACCAAGTAATCAGATAGCTTTCAAATTCATGCAAATGTACATATCAAATACATTGAAATGAAACATATAATCATGCAACAGAATTAAGCAATCACAGACATGCAAAAAGGATTACATACAAATGCACATGCAGTCACTAGATTTACTCTCAATAAACCTCACTAGGGTCATCACTCGACCCTATAGCTACATTCGTCTCACATCTCATCTTACCCTCCTGGTTTACCTTCTTCTTATGACAATTCACCACAAAAAGTCCAGACTTACCCACGGTTTGTCCCAACCCTTACCCTTCGTCTTACCACCATCATCACTCGAATCA